AAAAAAAAAAAAAAAAAAAAGAGCGGCAACAAAAGAATATGACGATGCAGCTGAAAAGTGACTGTTTGATATAAGATGATAATATCATTAATTAAAAACAACAGGTTGAATAAATTAACTATGAAAAGCAAACAACTACGTATATAATAAGGTCAAGACTGTACAGCTGGTAGAACATAATACAGCGTTCCAAAATAACGTCTATCATGTGCTTAAAGTTTTGGGTTATAGAGGTTTCCCATTTTTGCCACAATGATAGATTTCTTTGGATTTAGTGCATGAATCCCCGCCTTCTCTGGCCCACACACCAACAGGAATAAAGGAGGGGGGAGGGAAGGAAGTGAAACAAGCATGAAGGGGACCCAATATTTTCCATTATTAACAAAGAAAGATAGCTAAAAATTAAAAATAGATGTGCCATATCTCATGTACCTGATAGAAGCCACGAGCCAAGCAGCAGTTGCAATAAACAGATAATTATCATCTGACCTCTATCAACAAGAGATATCACGAAATAGCCCTTTTGATTCATCATATATCCATCTGCATAAAAAGTTGACTTTGTCAACTGACATTACAAATGAGAGATCTGAAACTAGGGAATCTCCAAGGTTCCACTGCTCATAGATTTGTCTGCATCTTATCGATTTTATTTTTTTTTAAAAAGTAGGTTGCTGCATATAATCAATTCTCTATCCAAAAAATCTGAAGTGTATCATATCTTCCTTTCTTTTGATATGCTAAACCCCACCCAGCAAACCCATGCCCAGAAGTCTAAAGTGGCCCTTTTTGCACTTTGCTCCCTTGGTAACTCCAACTCCCAACCTCGTGTTTGGAGATGGAGTGTTGTTTCCACTAGAGCAACCTCATTTATATTGAAGTGTAGTAGTTTATCAACACAACTGATTCCAGCAATCTAACGGTTTGCTACCGCATCACCCCTAATCAACTTAGAAGATGCAATTAATATTTAAAAACCAATTAATGAAAACAATCAATCGAAGTTAGATTCCTCCTTGCTCCACCAGAACTCAAACAGAACTGCAACTCATTGTAAATGTCTCAAATCTAAGTTAAAGCAAGCAGAAGAACCAAAAATATATCAAACAACATTTAGAAATTGCTCCACTGCTAGAAAGAGAAGTGCAAATGAAAAAAGTTCAACATACTTGCATATGTAAAGAGGTCGTGATACATCATTAGACCCCTTTGCTAGGCGAGCTCTCCTCTCACTTTCCTCGGTAAACTTTCTTGGAGGATGTACTTCACACGGGCCTTGTATCGAGCCAGCCATTACTACGCTAATATAAGTAGACAAATAAACCTGTATAAGGACATGCAGTGATACGTAAGATTCTACAGCATGGAACATATATTATCTCTTGCATGCTAAATTTATATTGGTAGCAGGATAGACAAAGATGCAGGTTGGTAAGCTATATGTGACAAATTTTCTGCAAAATCTTGTAGCTTTAGTCAATTAATTGTAGTCATATGCAACCCTCTTTATGATTCAATATCTTGTTCAATTAGTTTACCATCAAAAATGTCTCAACTCATCACTCGAGATGCTTTCAATAACAAACAAACAAAAAAGAGCACGCTTTTTTGCTTGCAAATTTAAAAAGGGTCCCCTTGCTACAGAACGGCAGTGAACACTAGAATCTCTCAATCAGAGTACATGATGTAAGATAAACCACAATAAGTTCATACTGTCTTTTAGGAGGACTCTACACCTGAAAATGTTTACTGTTTAGGGTAGTTTTCTTCCAAGTCCAGTCATGTATGTGTCTGCCTCTAGGTTGCTTCATATTTTGGTCAATCCAAGCTTTATTTTATTGTATTGAAACATGGACAGCAAGATTAGTTGACAAATGGTTGGAGATCTTTTGTAAAAGTTGCTGGACAGCTTATCCTTCAAGTCCTACCTGGTCACTAAGTAATTTCCCCCTAGTAAAGGCTTATCCCAAAACTACTTGAGGGGGGAATATTGCAGATATTCTCATGTGATTCCTGTCTAGGTTCTATTCTGCTCCTCTCCCTCTTCTCCCTTTCTTAGTTCTCTTAATTTCTTCTAAGCAACTCTCAGTTCTGCATGTTTTCATAGTCCATCCAGTCTCGAAACAACACTATTTCTCTAATTTATCACTCCTCCCCAAGTTCCATAAGTTTAAGTCAAGATTAAAGAACCTTTTCTCCAGTTGTTGTATGGTACGCAGGCTGAGGTTATGGGGGATATCATATCATCTCATATTGAAGTGTATAAAAGAATATGCATCAAATTGGGATTTTAACATAATGGATTGTGCAGATATATTTTCATTCCTGAAATACCCCTAGGCAAATTTTACAAAATTTCACCAGGTAAATTACAGAAGAAAATATCAGAACATAGGTTCGACAAGCCAAAATGTACAATTAACAAAAAAGATAATTTAGAGCTATGAATGCAGAAGGAAACAGCAGAAAATTTAGATGACAATTTTGAACAAGAAATTAAAATCTTTTATTAGCATTAAACAAGATACGATCAAAAAACTTAAAAAGAATAAACTGGAAGAAGAAGTAATGTATTTTAGGAAAAGAAAGAGATGGACGGACGTGGGGAAGAGAAATAGCTTGGGGACATAGGGACGAAGGAGACTAGTGTGATGACAAGGTGAGGTATCAGAGATGTGGGGAAGACGGTCGCCAGAGGGGGGGGGGGGGGGGGTTAGAAGATCAGGGGAAAAATACATAAATAACCAAACTAGAAGAGAAGAAATAATGCGTGAAAAAAGGAAAGAAATGGACGGACGGGTGGGGTTAAAAATTAGGGCTTGGGGTATGGGGATGGCAGATAGCTGTGGGATGAGATGGTAGAAGACTGTGGGCCAGCAGAGCGGGGTTGAATAGATATAGGTATGGGGGTCATCAGACGGGATTTTGGTGGGTGTTTCTAACTTGACTTCTTACAGGAAATTATCTAGAGCCTAACAGAAAAGAGTACAAAATCAGCATCATCGGAGTTAAACAAATCAAATCTACAGCAATCACCATTCACCATCGCCAACCCTTCATAACATTTGAGACTCATAGCAACCTCCCACATAGATTAGAATCATTCAAGGTTTCATTTGAGCTCCATATTCAGAAAAAAACAAATACAACACCCAAATGGATAAAGCACAAGTTGAAAAAAAGGGTGGTGACACTAATAACTTCAACAGACATAACTAGTGATGACGCATCTTCATTTTAATCCTTAATGCTTTAAACCCTAAATGAGCTATGCACAAGTACACTGCATCTCCAGCACATCAATGCGTTCTAGCAAATATGCGTTTATCTAAAGCAAAATTTACATGCATGATGATGACAACAAAAGACCACACAATCATGAAAAATCAAAAATCATGTCATCCCTAGCCATAGCAAGTATACCAAAATACAAGGAGAAGACAAAACTTAATTAGTTGTTTACCTCATTATTGTTCTCCACGCACGGGCGGCCTACAGATTGTGGTAATTCCCGTGCAAAGTAACATTGATTGACAGTAACCCACTCTGTTCCCGCTTTTTTGTCCTCCCACATAGTCTGCAAGTAAAAAGTCGAGCTTCTCCAAATGAATCACGGGGATACATATCAAGAGAAAGTATATATGTGGTAGCAAGATTACCGAGGCCATAATAGGTTGCGATATTTTATATGCTCGTAAAGACTAAGAGGAAAATTTACATAATAGCTTATTAGGCAAATAGCATTAGCAGAACCATGGCAGTTAGCAAACAATACGGAAAAGCACAAATTTGCACACACCCAATGACAAAAATAAAAGTTTCTATCTTTATATGCTCGTAAAGACTAAGAGGAAAATTTACATAATAGCTTATTAGGCAAATAGCATTAGCAGAACCATGGCAGTTAGCAAACAATACGGAAAAGCACAAATTTGCACACACCCAATGACAAAAATAAAAGTTTCTATCTTTATACTCCTTCCCTCCATTATATATGACAGCATTGACTGGACAGAGCATTTAAGATGTCATGTGACTTAAATGCTATATTAGCAATCGTAGAAGATTATTAACATAATGGTTATAAAGTTAGTTTGACAGAGCAACTATTAGATCAATAAGTACAAAATTGAATAGTTGAATAAATTTGTATTCATAAAGGCTGTTTAAAAATTATTAAAGTAGACCATTAGTGGAATGGGGTCAAGCATGTTGAAACATCCCAAAATAGACGAGTCACAGTAATTGAAATTAAGTAAAAGATATCCTGAATATTATGCATAAGCATATTGCTAGGACTTCAAAGTTGAATATGTTAACTTGCACGCAAATGCTAAACCTGCACAAGCTACTGACATAGCTACATGGGTCATATCAGAATATGACAGGCAATACTCTCAGCATGGAACCTAGTTGAGGTACAATTCAGAGCAGTTATAACGCCAGAAATGACATTGGAACAAATAATGCTCAACATTTTGTTAAGAAAACAATGTTATCGTTGACTAGATACAAGAAAGTTTTTACTTGATAATCAGCCAAAATATTGCATACACTGACATAAAGAACAAGTAAATCATCCTTACCCAAAAAAACAAGAATATCATAAATTTTTTAAATGGAAAGAAAGGTCAAACTCAGATGAAGTAAATTCTTACCAGAAGCTTTGAAGGAATCAATCTCTCATTTTCAAAACGAACAAGAGCATAGTCCTGAACATTATATATGAATCCGTTAATGCGGCAAGAGTGATAATAATACTTGTCATCTGCAACTTGAAGAACGTTTCCAATCCAGTCAACATTTTGAAGTTGCTCAGATGATGAGCTACCACACTCAGCATCCCTGTTGTTGGCTACAGAAGTTTCAGCAGGATTTATTTGCCCAACAGCTTGGTCTACGTTTTTAGATTCATCACTTGAACTGTTACCTACACTTGCTCTACCGCTGTATTCTCTAGCATCACTGGCCATGGGCTGAGTTTCATGATACTGCTCAGATGGCATCTCAGTCGTGTTTGCCACCCCTGCATAGTCATTAGCTTGCAGGTGATTAAGAGCTTGCGAGGGATCAGACGAATGGCAAACTGTCTCAGATTTCACAGGAGCCTGAGGTTTCAATTCGACCACTTTCTCTTCACAAGATCTATCAACTGATGAACTAGCAGATGTAGCAAGGCACTTATCACTGGAAATGACTGTCAGATTATTTGAACAGGATCTCAAGGAATCTTTATTCTCCATATTTTCTTTACCTGATGTGATAATATTTCCTCCTATTTCTTTGTCATTATCCATCTTTGGCTCAGATGGTAGATTTCTATCGTTATTTGCCATAGTAATGGAAGGAGAGTTCTTCAAAGGAACCTTTCCATTTGCTATTATCTTCTGCTGAATGACCTTCTCATCTGGACCAGAAGCTTTTTTATCTGGTGATGATTGAACAGCTGATGCAATTGTAGACATTTTAGAGGCATTGATATTCCTCATTACACGACCATATTTAGGAGGCAGCGGTTTCCCATTAGTCATCGATAAGCACCTTCCACAATGCCATTCCCCTCTAGGAACTCCTTTTTGATTTGTCGTCTGGAGACATTTTAAGTGATACCCTTTCTCACAAGCATCACAAACAAGTACATTATCAACCTCATTTATCGTTGACTTGCACATTTGGCAAGTCAAAGCCTCATTCATATAGTCGCGAGACGGCGGAGTCCAGGCAGGCCGCTCCGAGAGCCGGGGTTGTAGAAACTTCTGAACAATCTTGCCAATTTCAGCATGAGAATTGCTCAGAGGAGACTGGACAAAGCTTGTTCCTTGTAAACGTGGGTGAATAGTTGGTGGATTTCCGGCTGTGGCCTGAGAAATAAATGGCCTAGATGCTGTTATTTGGGGCGCCATACCTGATTTGGCATCAGCTCCTCCTTCAACTTTAATAGCTGTCTGCGCTGTCATCCTGTTATCTGGTCCACGTTTAGCTGCTGGAACTGACGCAGGTTGCACCGACCAGGTTGGGGTTCTTACACCTGAGTGATCTCCAGAAGTTGCTGTAAAGAACAATATACTTGTGATGATTCAGATCAACAGTAAGAATAAAAAGTTTAAACAATGAACAAGATGGAATCACTAATTTCCTCGTACCAACACCAGAATACTAAATTGCTTTATATGCATCTTACTACAAAGAAAAGTGACAAGAATTAGTAGATGAAATAAAGGTAGAATGAGATTGCCTCCTATGATGATATACAAATGGCAATCTTTAATATTGGAATCAATTACTAGAATGAGAAGCATGCAAATCAGTAAGCACGCTTAATGAAGAAACCACATAGAATTCCCTTTTATAAGTTGTTTGACGCTATGGTCCAAGAATGAGACCAAGTATAGCAATTATTTCATTTTTTTTGGATGAAATGACCATGTATAGCAATTATACTACCACCACAAGCTACCTCTGTACATATATCCACGATTCATTTGGATAAGAGAACCCCCATATAGGAAGTCAAAATACAAGTCCAGGATAAATCCTTGAGCACCTTTGACAGTTATAAGGAATGTATTTTTGTTACCTTGAACTTGCAATGTATGGGAATATCCATTTGGTCGTCCATCCATTCTGAAATTTGGCCTTTCAACTCTGGGCAATGCAACTAGAGAAGAATCCCTTACAGGATTACCAGAGACAACTCCACTAGAGATTACTGGCCTGACCTCACTGGTAGGCAGTTGATAAGGTAAAGGCGCAGAGGTTGCCGAAGTTCCATGAACCAAAGGTGAAGCAGGTTGGAAGCTTCCAGAGGGATTTATCACATGACTCGGCTTATCAGGAGGAACCATACGGGCAACATGTGATGAACCACGGTTTTCAATTGCTGTAGCCATATTAGCTTGAGGTCGTTGAGATGAATATGTGGCAGAGGGTACAGAAAATTCCTCAGTTTTTTCCAACTATAAGCACATGGGAAAGACAAAGTAGAACTCAATAAGATATATAAGCCACAGCCCAATAAAATCAGTTTCCACTAGATTATATTGGAACTATAATCGCCTAAATTGCAAGACTTTACAATTGAAGAACAGTGAATCTAATTTGCAACTTCAAATCAAGTTCTACATGCACCGGATATAATCCCTATCCCTCAAAAAGGCAAATTTATACATCTCTGATGTCCTATTAAATTAGGGATATCTAAATCATAAGCATAAAAAAGAAAGGGCAGCCTAGTGCATTACGCTCCCGCTATGCGCGGGGTCCTAGGAAGGGCCGGACCACAAGGGTCTATTATACGCAGCCTTACCCTGCATAAAATGCAAGAAAAATCATAAGCATATATAGAAAAAGAAAAAAAGAAAAAAAAAAGGCGGGGTAGGGGGGAGAGGGGGGGAGGGCAGCATCCCATGAGAATATGACGTGGGCATCCGTCAGTGGCTGATTCCACGGCTCAAACCATAAGTATATTGAAAAATGCTATTCAACCCCTACACTTGGAAAGAAGATCACAACCTCCAACTTCACCACCCCTCTTTGAGAAACATTGGGGCAATCATTTTTTCCCGGGAAAGATCATAACTAACAAACGAGCATACCAATAACAATTTACTAATTCAACACAACAAGCACGCCTATGTACTCAATATACTTGCGATGCACATACACTTGTTTAAAACACTAAAATACATCATTCAATTCGATTCTATCAGTGGAAAAAGTAAATACGACTTGAGCGGATACGGAAACAAACAGTTGAGCTACCTTTCTTTTAGCCATCAGTAACTTGTCAGCAATGGACATTTTGGGAGGGCGAAACCCTAACCTCTGTTCTTTCAGTTTATTAAGACCAAGATCCTCAATGACAGCACCAAAAGCATCGCGTGGAAACACATCCTTGGGTGCGAAAGTTTGGCATACAAGAGACAATTTTTCCCTTGCCACCGCCATCATCTCCGTTTCAGCAGCAGTAGGAACCCTACCTCCTCGTATCTTACCCATAGCAGCAAGTACAAGCACCATTTCAGCAACCTTCTTCATAGTCCCTATCACCATACTACCCCTCGCCTTCTTCGGAGCCGGTGCTTCCTCCAATTCCACATCATCAGCCGCCGGCCTCTTCTCTCCCACACCGTCCGATCTGAGCTCCGCCTGAATATCTACCGTTGAATCCATCAAACCCTAGGCAGTCCTGATGGACGACACAACAAAAACGACGCCGTTGCAATGCAATTTGAATTAGTGTGGAACCTTCAAGAAACCTGTGAAGACGAGAGAAAAAAGAAGCCATAGAGGGGGAAGGGGAGAATCAGAAACCCTAGAGAGGAAAAAAGGGGAAGGGAGGAAGAGGGAGGGAATGACGTTGTGAGAAAATTTGAAAAAATAATAAGGGGGATTAAGATTTAGGGAAGGGTTAAAAATTATACTCAACCTTTATGTGTTGCGAGTTGTGCTGTTTTTGGTGGTGTAATTTGTGAAGTGTGTAATGTAAGTGAGTAGGTGTGTGCGTGAGAGAGAAAGGGTCGCAACCTCGGAGCAGGAAGTCTTTCGTTTTTGTTTTTAGAGAGAGAAAAGCAGATAGAGCGCGGCTTCGAACCGGGTTTAGTATTATTGTTTTTTTCACTTTTTATTTTCCAGCACTAGTTGCTGCACGCCCTATTCCGTGCTACTCTCTTCTTCGTTTATTACACCTATTATAATAATTATATTATGCCCCAAGCCATCTATCACATTTTAATGAGGATTTTTTACTAGATACAATTTTTTAAAATATAATAGAACTATGCATTACATTGGTAGCTATGGAAGAAAACATTAATAATAGTTAAAAAGTTATTTTGCTATATAAAATATTAAATAGTATAGTTAAGTATTTGACGAATCTAAATTTCTCAAAACTATGACATTGTATAAAATAATTTTATTAGCTGAATATTATCGAACACTTGCGATATGAAAAGGAAGTAATACCAAACAAAAATACCCAATCCAGCCATGAGATAAGGAGAAGATTGACTTGCTTTATTTGGTGATGATGAATGTCAAATAGAGGTTGTCACGACTCAAATTCCCGCTAGTCGTGATGGCACTTAACTCAACCCGCTAGGTAAGTCAAAAGATAAACAACACAACTCAAATAGGATAACAGGAGTCAATAAATAAAATTAAGCTTTATATATAAAATTCTAAGGATTGGTAGTACAAGTCATGAGCTTCTAAGACTTAGAATTTACAAAGCCGGTACGAAATAAATACATTATCTGTTCAAAATATACACAAACAGATTAACAAATCTAAAGCTACCAAGAATAAGAAGCAGCTATAACCGGAACGCACGAACCACTTCAATGGCAGCTCCCGCCATATACAGCAACATCAGCTCCAAAAATTTGCATGCAAGGTACAGAAGTGTAGTATGAGTACAACCGACCCCACGTACTCAATAAGTAACAAACCTAACCTTAGGTTGAAAGCAGTGACGAGCTCAAAAGAAGGTCAGTGTCCAACACCAATAGCCAATATCAATTCAGAATAATATAAAGGAGGCAATAAAAGTAACAACTCAAAAGATATCATGCTTAGCTCGTTCACATTTACGGAAAAGTAAACATGCTTTCCAAGTATAACAGTCAAGTCGAGATATTACAACTAAAAATCAACTAAACATGAGTTTATCAAAAGTACTGTATTCCCGATTCACAACACCAGATAAGAATTTTCGTTACCAATTAGCATGAGAAAAATACATCTCTATGCCGACATATCAAGTCATCAACTATCATATACCATCTAGCATGAGGAATATACATCTCAATGCCTACATGTCAAGTGAATGATTTCATGATGATATCCCCAAGTACTCTCACCCTCAACGTACTCACGTTGTCCGTCTTAAACGCCCACTACATCCCCCCCACACACACAATCACTCAGCCTGTACGGGTGTCTGGCTTATAAGCCCCTCATCATAGCACGTGTATATATATCATTATGACTGCGCTCACTGCTGGTATGTCAGACTCCGGAGGGGCGGATCCTGCCTAAGCGCTAATCAAAAGCCTATAATGCATGCTGTGCCATGCAGCCCAATCCACAATAATGAATAAGCCAATAAAGCATGTTGCAGTGTGTAGTCCGATACATAACAATAATAATAATAATAATAATAATAATAATAATAATAATAATAATAATAATAATAACCTGTTGTGCCGTGCAGCCCGATTCACAACAACACTCTCAACGCGGCTTTAAGGCACACCTCAGTCATCAACCTCTCAAGTCTCAAGGGCTCGCAATCTCATACCGCTCATCCCAACTACTCCACTTAAGGAAAATCAATGATAACATGCGATGTAGCAATGAATGATGAACAAAGACTGGGATATGATATGCACATTAAGAACCATGACTGAGTGTATAATTACAATTAAATCATATAACTCAAAACAATAGAAATAGCCTTATTAAGTCTCAACCGAATCAGCACATAGCCTAAACATGATTTTTAACATTAATCACAACTCAAATAACCAACAAGTAGGGGAAAATACGGATATAACAGGACATGATAGCAGAACAAGTGTGGTACTAGTCTAAAAGTTAGCTTGAATCATAATTACCCCGGTGTACGCCCACACGCCCGTCACCTAGCATGTGCGTCACCTCAATACATCATGGATAACATGGTTCCCAGGGATAATTACCCTCAATTCCAAGTTTAGAAATGTTACTTACCTCATACAAGTCAAAACAAATACCGAGCAAGCAAACAACACTCTAGAAATGCCATCCCGCGCAAATCAACCTCTGAACGGCTCGAAACTAGCCAAAAGCAACTAAAAATATCAAATAATATCAAAGGGAACAAACCTAATCGATAAAGGTTGAATCTTATCAAAAGCCCAAAGTCAACCCCGGGCTCGCTCCTCGAAATCCGACAAAACCCACAAATTCTGATAATTCATTCAATTACGAGTCCTACCATACTAATTTTACTCAAATCCGACTCCGAATCGATGTTCAAATCTCAAATACTCACTTTAGAAAAATTTAGACAAAACCCCTAAATTTCTCTTCTAAAATCATCAATCAAATGCTAAACTAGAAAATGGAATCATGGAATATAATAAAAACCGAGTAAAAAATACTTACCCCAATCCATACAATGAAAATCCTCAACCAAAATCGCCAAACCCGAGCTCCAAATCTCAAATTGTGATAAAAAGAGCCAGAACCTCGATATATTGTGAGTCTGCCCAGGTAAGTCGCACTTGCGACAATATTCCCGCTTCTGCGGAACCGCACGTGCGGCCCCAACCTTTGATTTTGCGAAAATGACCTAACTCAACATCATACCGCTTCCGCGATCGCACTTTTGCGACAACACCTCCGCTTCTGCGACAAATCATAGATCCCAGACCTCTCGCACCTGCGGAATATATTCCGCTTCTGTGACATCGCAGGTGCGAGGAAATGCTCCGCACCAGCGCCTGTCCCGCTTCTGGGCCTAAGATACCGCATCTGCGCCTTCGCATATGCAATGAAATCTCTGCATCTGCGGACTCCCCCAGCTACAAGTGCCGCTTCTATGGCTCCGCGCCTGCGCCCAAGGCTCAGCAGGTGCGGTCACACCAGGTCCCTACCAAACCAGCATAGCCAAAACGATCCGAACCACGTCTGAAACTCACCCGAGCCCCTCGTGACCTGTCCGAATATACCAACGAGTCCCAAAATATAACATGGACCTACTCGAGGCCTCAAATTACATATAACAATATCGAAGCGACGAATCTCACATCAAATCAAACTTGAAGAACTTTAGAACTTTCAACTTTCAAAACTCGTACTGAACCTCATCAAAAAAACTCTGAATGAATTCAAATTTTGCACATAAGTCCCAAATGACATAATGAAGTTATTCCAATTCCCCGAACCACAATCCAAACCCGATATCATCAAGGCCAGCTTTCGGTCAAACTTATGAATATTCCAAACTTTCAAATTTTCAACTTTCGGCAAATAGTGTTGAAACCTTGTAGAAACATCCAAATGCAAATCCAGGCATATACCCAAGTCCAATATCACTATCTGGACTGACCGAACCATCAAAACTCTTCTGATGTCAAATACACAAAAATTAAACTTGGTCTGCTCTTCCAACTTAAAGCTTCCTAATTGAGAATCATTATTCCAAATCAACCCCGCATCACCTGAAAACCAAAACTGACGATTCAAGCAATTCATAATACATCGTATGAAGCTACTGAAGACTTCAAATAGCTGAACGGAATGTAAATGCTCAAAACGACCGGTCGGGTCGTTACATTCTCCCCCATTAAATATATGTTCGTCCTCGAACGTGCCAATAGTCGTTCCAAAACCATCAAATCACGGTGTAACCTTACCATGCACACATCCGGGGGTGATCCCACGTCACCCCAATCCATATAAGTCCGTCAACTCAACATAACCGAAGATTCTTCCTTCAACCTTAGTCCATGTTGAAACCCAATTTCCAACATCTGGAATTCATTATAAGACCCAATTCTCACATCCAAACACTGCATAAGTCTGAACAAGTTGTACCAAGCCATAACCATAACCCAGGATGTAATGACATTATATACCACATAACTCAGATACTCATAGCAATAGCTTCTGACCACAATAGCTTCCCAAAAATAAACTCGGTACTGGTAACAAACCTCATACCAACTAAAACCTTGTTCCAAACCTTCGTACCCTGCCAATGGTGAATGAAACACGCAGAAAACTCCCACTCGTCAGATCAACAAGTCATGGAGTTCTCTTTCGTCGGACAAGAACCATAGCCAAATTCTAAGCCGACTTCCAATATTATTCTTTCAAACATATCGTAATCAAATCCGATACCACCCCTTCTAGGTCCAATGACCTCATCTCATCCAACACAACTATTGTACTGACATGTCACACCAATACAACATAAAGCCACAAAACCGTGCAATTCGTGCATCAAGAAACTGTCACACCTCTTTTTTCATTACTACACCCGCAGAAGAGGGTATAATAAAGGGAGTTATTTTCAACTTGAAGTGACAATCGGAACGGGATTTATTAAATTTTTCAGAGTCGCCACTTAGGAGATTAATGGTGTCCCAAGTCACCGGTTAAATCCCGACCCGAGGAGATTATGACTCTGTTATCAGTCCGCGAACCAGAAATCCGAGTAAGGAATTCTGTTAACCCGGGAGAAGGTGTTAGGCATTCCCGAGTTCCGTGGTTCTAGCACGGTCGCTCAACTGTCATATTTGACTCATTTGTTTGATTTTAGTACATGTTTTAATCTATGTGCCTTTTAACTTTTGAAACGCTTTTATTATTATTATTTTTAGAAAATTGCAACGTCGTGAAAATGCATCTTGAACCACGTTGCACCAGTGCACCCGTGATCGTTAACACATTTCGACTTCGTTGAGATTTGGATTTGGGTCACATAAATGTGCACCCGAATTTAGGGAAATAATATTAAAGTACGCGCCTAAAGCAGCTACGTGTTCATTATATTTGGGAAGGCCGTGAAATTCGCTAAGCGGCGTATCCCGA